TTTCTTTCTGCTCATTCAAATCATTTTGATTTTAAGTTTGGTATAGAGGCAAACCTCCTTCACTAAGCAAGTTTATTACTTTTGAATGGCAAAGAGTTTGGAACGGAAAAAAATGTGACACTAGAAACTCTCGACTATGAAAATATTCGAAGAAAATTTCAATTTGTAGTAAAAAGTTTACAATTGAAACTTTAAACTGATTCGGTGCTTTCTTGAAAACCTTCTGGAGTTTTAAAACTTAACAAGGCCTAAGTGTGGAATCAATCACTGATTGCACTGTCTATTGGGACAACCTCCCAATTTTTCCTCAAATTTGACAAGTTTCTCGCCCATATTCCTGGCTCTTTTTCCTGCCAAAGGTTTCCCTACCTTCTTCCATAGTGTTTCGATGACGCTCAGGACATGTAACTGAATTGGTCGCTCTGTTAGGAACACGCCATGCTGGCGAAACCACTTCTTAACTGTGGAGGTGCGACGGCACGTCGGAATATCAATGCCGCCATTTTCGTTATGCCATTTGCACTGACAAGGTAGGTCTTTCAGGTGTACCCGCGCTTTCTCAAAACGGTTTTTTGCATGATGTAGAGGGATGTGCGTGGATTACAGAACTGTAGTCCATTTCCGCTAAATGGCCTCTCTGAATGCCAAAAAAGGAGTGAAAATAATTTCGTCGGATAGTGCAATTTTTGCGCACTCACCGTGGTTTGTTTCATTTATGGCGTGGACTGCTTGCATAACGAAGGGTTCTCGCAAGCTCTGTATCGAAAACAACGCGAAGTTTGGCCAAAATTGGAAAGTTGTCGTAGTGATGACATGCTATGTAGTGAAGAGCGTGTGGAAGTTTCATGGGTGCATTTGGCTACTCATCTTCGGATGCGTCGGTGGTGTAGTGGATAGCGATATGGACTTCAATTGGCACGGTTGGACGGGGTTGCTGGTTCGGATCCTCGAGATGCGCAAATTTTTGCGTTTCTTGTTGGCACTTCCAGATCTCGATCTCGTGGCTCCAAGTTGCATAAACGCCATAATAGATGTATTATTCATGATCAGAACCGTTAATAACCCCGATGAGGTAAGTTTTCACCGAAAGCAGGCAAACAAAGTTGTAACGTCGAAATGGCGCCAGATAGCGGCGGCTCCAAAAAACAATGCCATATTCTTAACCAGCGCACTGATTTACCTCTATAGCCGAAGTTTCGAGGAAAATCGCATCTTAACCTAACTTCGAAAATTTCCACCAGACACAGGTAATCTAGGAAATACTTGAAGACACAGGTAGTCTTCAAGTATTTCCAGTCGCTTGGGGGCAAGCTCCGTGTGGAGAACTGGCAGAAAACTACTGCATTGCGAGTGTCCCCTCTCCCGACCGTCATCAGCTTGGGTGTCTACTATTCTGTTCGGTAGGAACATTTCTCATTCCTTGATGAGGATCTAGAGGAGGTCATTTCCAAGAAGTTCGCCGTCGAGCCTGACGTGCTACAGAGTTTACTTATTACTCATGGAGCAATTTTTCGAAGTTGGGTCAAAATCTTGATTTTCTTGGAAACTTCGACTACAAGGGTAATCAGGTGCCCTGATTACGAATATGACATTCATTTTCAGCTCCGACATCATTTCGGGCCCCTATGACGCTGTTCGACGGCACGTTGGTGCCGTTTTGCGTCACAACTTTCTCTCACCAGTTTTCGGTATACGCTTACTTTTAAGGGTTTTTTGCAAGCCTAATTATAAATATGACATCAATTCCTGGTGTTGACGTATTTGGTGCCAATTTTGTTGCGTCAAATCACAATGCAAAAATTTGTCACCGCGGGGAATCGAACCAAGGACCATTTGCTCACTCCTTTTTTGGCATTCAGAGGGCCATTTAGCGGAAATGGACCACAGTTCTGTACTCCACGCACATCCCTCTATATCATGCAAAAAACCGTTTTGAGAAAGCGCGGGTACACCTGAAAGACCTCCCCGAGAAAAATGTTTGTACACATGTATGTTATGTGGAGTGAGGTGGCGTAAGATGGTGAGTGAATGGAAAACCATTGCTAAGAAATGATTAGGTCCGTCAAAGTGTGGATATCACTTTCGTTGTTGCTAGCTTCGTGGTGATAGTATAATAATAATAATCTTACATACTATAAAGCGCTTCGTCTGTCGTTCTGTCCCTCTGTCGTTCTGTCCCTCTGTCGTTCTGTCCCTCTGTCGTTCTG